AGCTTCAAGTGATATGCAGATTCTCTTATTAAGGACTATTGCAGCTGATTAATTTGAAGGCAGTGCTCATTTACCATTCTGAAAAATCCCAGGACCCTTAAGAATTGTACTAAAAATCTATTCTGTCTGTGCTTTATAAATGGAACAACAAAGCCTGGATTATAGCACATCTGTTTACAACAAAGTCCTCTGTAGAAACCTCCTGCTCGGGGAAAAAAAAACATCTCTTCAAAATGATACTACTCATTAACTTTATACCCAGTCACCTAAGAAGTTAATGTTTTATTACTGCTAAATAGTATCCATTCTGCGCCCAAGAATCAAGGAGTACTTTTGACTTTCAAGTCTTATTCTGGAATCTTCTCAGATCTTCTCACTGATCCAACCCACTTTGGTATTGCAGTTTGCAGGCATGTAGTGTATGCTCTCATTTAGTATTCTGAATCAAGTGAGACTAAAGCTAATTCCTTAAGTACACGCCAGAAAAGTTGGATCATTGGACAGTCCCTCCATCTTTTCTCTATAAAAAGAAGGGAACAGTTTCCTTGGAATTTTAAATTTTTTTTTAAATTTTGTTTTGTTTTGATTTTTCATGTGTTTGGTCTGTACTGAGCCAGGGAGAGGGACTTTGGTGACTAATTTCACCAATATAGCCACTATTTTTGTTCTTACTGGCCCTTAGGTGGCTAGAGTAAATTAGGTGAGATCAGCATTCCAAAATGGGTAAGACAAAAGTGTGTCCTTTGGGGAGCCTCCAGACAAGTTGAGGTTTTCGAAACACATTCCAGTTCTTTCTCTCCCCAGGGAGTTGAGCATTGGGTTTTTTTATCCTCTTACTCTGTACTGAGCCAGGGAATGAGACTATGCTGACTCCCAACCCAAACTACCATCTCTATTCCCAGTGGCCCCAGTTAGGTAGATATTGTGGGTTTTGTCGCTGTCCTGAAATAAGCAAGATCTCTCAGTCACATCACACTTCTTCCTTACTTTCTGTCTTGAGGCTTTCTGCTGCTCTACATGGTGTACCTGTACCTCAACTCTGTATTTACTGTTTGCAGTGCTGGGATTATATCCAGGGCCTAGTCCATGCTAGGTGAATACTCTGCCACTAAGATACACTTTCAGCCCAGCAAGTATGAACCTGTGTAATCCTGGCAATGAAAAGAAGTTGACATCCCAGGGAGCAAGCCTGGATCAAGGAGATGGAAGCCAGTGGTTAAATGTTTCTCCTTTCTGCCTCTTAGTGGTTAACTCAAAGTGCATCTGCTGTGGCTCTCCAGAGGCTACTGAACAAGACTGAACCTCAGTTGCCTATAATAGTGAATGCTTTATCACTGCTTCTCAAACTTTATACAAAATGCTTAAGGATTTTTTTTTGTTTTGTTTTGTTTTGTTTTTCTCTGGTACCAGGAACCAAACTCACGACCTTGCACTTGCCAGGCAGGCACTTTGCCGCTGAGCTAAATCCCCAGCCCCTAAGGATCTTATTTAATATGGATTATAATTCTTAAGTCAAGGGAAGACCTAGAGATTCTACAGTTCAAACAAGTATTGGCTGATTTTGATACTGTGGATCATACTTTGAGTAGCAAGGAGCTAGAAAATCACACTTTTGTTTTGGCTTTCCTTCTTCCTGTTCCACTCTCCCAGTGCCTCAGATCCCTTTGGGGTCACTTCCCAAAATAAGCTGTGTACAAATCTCTTGCTCAGGCTCACTCTTTTGGTAGAACCCAGGTTTAAGACAAATACTATTAATGCAAGAATTCTACTTCAAGAATGTATCCTATAGATATAGTCACATTATGTCATATACAATTGTAACTCATTATAACATGATGAAACATTGGAAACAATGTCTATAAGAGGACTAGTTAAATGACTTGTGATATATCTATATTTTGAACTGATATGTAGCTTTATTAAAACAATAAAGAGCCCTCTCTCTACTAATAAAATATTTATGATGTATGCTAAGTGTAAAAGGCAGGGTACAGAGTATTGTGTGTATTAATGACTTCATTTAAAAAATAAAGGGAAATTATATCTATTGTTCATATATACATAAAATCAAACTGGAAAGGGGAAAATTAATATTGGTTTGAAAATGAGTAGTTTGGGGGATATGAAAGGGAGGAAAACTGTCCTTAGTAACGTGATTTATAACCTTGAGATTATTTTAGCTATTGAGTTAAAATTTTACATTTGGTAAGAAGTATTTTTCTTCTTTAAACCTCAAAGTACTCCAACACTTAATGTTTATTATATATTCAGATCAATATGGAAAAATTATTTATCATCTGTGTCCATATGTCTTGGTTACTTTTCTCTTGTTGCTGAGACAAAGTACCCAGCACCCAAAATTAAGGAAGGAAAGGTTTATTTAGCTTACAGTTGGTGGAGGTTTCAGTCCATACTTGGCTGGCTCCAAGGCAGAGTGGCACATGGCAGAGGGCTACTGTTCATGGTGGCAGAAAACAGCAAAGCAACAAGAGCAAAAGGGAGGAGTGGCAGAGAAGAGCAAGCCTCTTTCCCTCCCTTGTATTGTAAGCAGGCTACCCTCACCCAGGGGGCGTGTAGCACTCACATGATCTCCATGCTCTCCTCTTTCATAGGCTCAGGATGAATACAAAGTAAGGACCCTGGCCCCCTGCTCAGTGATTCATTTAACCTTCTAAACTCACACTGACACAATGAACAACATCCTAGACCAGGAAGGGCGTGTCCTTTTCACCTGAGGATGTAGAACTGCTGAGTTACTTAGTTAAGCTTCTAGACTCCTCAAGTTGACACAGTGTATCAACCATAACACCATATTTTATTTTTCTAATAAATTCCAAGTTAAATTATGAATTATATTCTGGGGCTGGGGATATAGTTCTGAAGTAGAGCACTTGCCTATGTCCGTATACATATACATGTTAATTCCCCAATACAGGGGTGGGGAGTAAAGGTGGGCAGGGGGGAGAGGGGGGAGAGAGAGAGAGAGAGAGAAGAAGAAGAAAACTATATATTTGTACTCTTTTTTTTGTTGTTGTTGTTCTTTTTGTGGCAGGGTCTTGCTATAGAGTTCAGGCTGGCCGTGAACTCACGTTGTAGCCCAGGCTGGCCTTGAACTTGCAGCAATCCTTCTGTGTCAGTTTCCCAAGTTCTGGGATTACAGGCATGTGCCACCATGCCCAGTTTATATTTGTACTTTTTTTAAAAAGATGGTATTTTTAAAAAATATGATGGCCCATAATATCATGTATATAGTAAGCACTTTGTAGATACCTGACAAATTTGTTTGCATATCCTGTGTTTGACTCCACTGCCCAGAGCGGTGCCTAAGGTAGGACGAATTCATGTATTGCCTAAAACTCTTAGTAATTGCACAATTACTCAGGTCACCAGAGGAGGAAAAAATAATGGTACTAAGAAATATACTTGAATTATACCAAAGTAGGATTTTAAAAACTAAATACAGCTGTGGAAGTACATAATGCATTTTAAAGAAATTCTTGCTAAATGAGTATATTTTTAAGTTTCATTATTCAAGGATTAAAGTTAGATTGTCATAGAAACTCACAGACTGTGTCTGATCATGTTAAGAGATCAATGAATATCTGCATGTCTGTTATGACCCAGTTCTGTACTAGGCCCTGGAGACAAAAACAGTGAGCAAAAACAGACATGGTTTCACTCTCACTGGACATGTAGCATAGTGAGGGAGACAGACATTAATCAGTTATGCTCATGTTTGAATAATTACAAATGAATTGACTAAAGAAAAGAGACAGTTCCTTGATAGCTTCTATAAAAGGAATCTGATGTAGGTGTAGGGAACAAGGAAAAAAAATGCTTTTGTTGAAATCTGAACAATACAGAAGGTATGGAATTTCCACCATACAGTCTATATTAAGTATTTCTGTCTGTTATTTCCGGATTTAGTAGGTATTTCTTGCTGAAGTAACAAACCCACTTCACAACTAAATGGCTATAATTTATTATTTCTCACTATTCTTTGGGTTGATGGGGTGATGCTGTTGTTAGGCTTATGGGGAGTTCACTCCCATGGCTGAGCCTCCCACTTTACATGGTCTTTCTAACCAGGCTTCTTCATGGCCTAATGGTCCCAGAATTCTAAGAGGGGAAATACAGAATCTGGAAGGCTTCTTGAGACTTAGGCTTTCAAACTTGTACACCACTATTGTTAAAGCAAGTAAACAGATGAGTCCATTTTCAAGGCATGAGGAAATAGATTCTTCCTCTTGATTAATGGAGCTGCAAAGATTTTGTGGTCATGTTTTCCCCTTAATCTACTACAGTTTCTCTGGTAACTATATATTCGTTACTTTGTTATTTAATCAGCACGGTTTTAATAGCTAGAAATCAAACATGAATAGGATAAATTAATTTATAATTTGCCATCTTTTCCTGTATGTTCAAGCACGTGGTTTTCCTGAATTGTCATTCTATAGAAATCAATATTTGTGAACATTTCTTACTGTGGTATAAAAATGAATCATTATTAAATTAACAAGTGCAAAAAAATAGAATCTTAGTCATTACAGAAGAGGAAGAAAGCCACTGGGCATTATATGTGATTTTTAGCCTTTCTGAATTTGCAATAATAAATGTATATGTTATAGTCAAAAAAGATTACACTAGTAAGCCCATATTAATGTAGTCATGCTGTCATGGATGACATTGGTAGGCACACAAATTAATTCAGTAGTGAAGTGAATTTATAATTTTTTTTACAATGTTGTTCTCAGGTTTATTTTTATAACATTTTAAGGGTGGTTTACTCCCAGCTCAAAATTTACCCTTTTGGATAACTCTGAACAAATGAGTAAATTTTATAGCTAAAATTGATGACAAAAATATTAGCTACCTGGACTTCTGTTTTTTGTAAGATATAAATAGCACAAGAAAGCAAAAATATTTAATTGCTTAGAAAGTTATTTCATGAGCAGTAATAGCACCTAACTTTTCTTTCCAATATTTTTTTAAATTGAAAGAATAATAAGAATGCTGCTTTCCTCCTGATGGAAAGCGACAGGCTGGTCATCAGTTTACCCAGAGTGAAGTGGACAGAAGCGGCACTGACCATGGCATCTCAGCTCCAAGAAGCGTGCATTGTGTTTATTGTAGAGAACTTCTCCAAGATCATTCAGAGTGAAAACTTTACTCTTCTCCTACAGGTACTACATTTAAAATCATTTCTTATACTTAGTCCCATCTTTGTGTTCTGATTTTAATCACATAAGATAAATGCAGACTGCCTTTGATTTAGTTAGTATGATTTAAATAAATTCCATAGCAGATGGCATATTTGCATCAGATTTAGAGCAGTGATGGACAGGAGTTTTGGCTCACAAGATAAGGAAAACAGGAGGGACAGGTGTGAGTGTCCTGGCAAGGCACACTGTAGTTCTTGCCAACACTAGCTCTCAATCAGCATTACCACATTTTACAAACCAAAATTGTAAATATAATGCTTTGGTCATTATTACAATTATAGTCCCTATCTTAGCAGGAATTACTTTCTCTAAAACTGATTATTTCTAGGTTTTGTTATCAGGGCTATATTAGCTCTCAAAAACAGTATATTTGTCTATATGTGTATTTGTGTATACACAGATTTTTTAACAAAGGAAAACCGGAAATACGATTTCTTTTTTCTTAGTACGTATTCACAATACATAAATCCACTGATCACGGGGAATTGGAAGATGTACATATCGCATCTTAATCCTTTTTACTTCCCCTTTCCCTCCAATTCCTCCCCACTTCCTACCTCCTAGCTCCCCTGCCCCTCTCCAGGAGGACTACCTCCGTATCTATCTTCTACTTTGCCCTTTAAGTTACTCATACTTTGTATTTCTCATGTAAGAGAAACCATGCAATATTTAACCTCTTGTGTCTGACTTATTTTGCTTAACATTAATAGTTTCAAGGTACATATATATGATTTCTGTTTGACTTCAGATAGTTATGATGACTATTTTGCTACTATGCCAAACTTTTATATTTGTTGTACATTTTAATGAATTTTTATTAAATAGCAGTTTCTGTGTTTCATAGTCACAAGCAATGAGCAGCACTGCTGATCTGTTGGACAAAATTTTAAAAGCAGTTGAGGAAAATATTACCACTGAAAATAGTTGCTCTCTTCTTATGGCTCTGGATGCACTGTTGAACTGTGAAAGCACAAAGGAAATGGTACTGAATGTAAAATCACTCATTAAAATATTGTTATATCTGTAGCATTTTAGGGTTGTAAATTGCATGTGCATTTTAAATGTTGCATTGCTCTCTGAAACTAGGCAGTGGGCACCTAGCGGTGATTATGGTCTTTACCTTGTGTGTGTTTGGAATTTTTCGTAATAAAAAATTTTCAATGCCATTTTTCTTCAAATGGACTTTCTATAAAAGTTGGGAATTTGGCATTTTAGCTCACAATACACATAGTTTTTGATAGCAATATTATTTGGCACAATATAACTAATATTTCTCATCACTGGATTAAATTTTCAGATATAAAATGTATATTGAGAATTTTAATCGTTTTTATAATAAATTCTTAATTCCTTTTTAGATTGACAAGGAAAAAGCAATTTAGATACCATATTATTTTTAAATGCAATTAATCCATAATAGCATACTAATTATAAAGTAGTACCATGTTTATTATGTAAGAAGAAAAATTTTAGCATACTTAATACTATTGCATAGAGTATTTGACCTTGTAATGTCATAGATGACTTTAAAAGACTGTGGAAGATATTCATATAAAGGCTACTGTTGCTTTAAAATAATGTTCGGTGGAAAGGGTAAGATTTAACTTCACATTCACTATAAAATTCTAATTAGTAAATCTTCATAAATAACTTGTACCCAGCAATTTTAAAAATCTAACTGATGACATCATTGATCTAGCTTAGGAGTAAGTAGATTCGGAAAGGAATAATGACTGGTTGCTATGACAATGTGTTCTCACCAGCTGCTGATTTGTTGCTTGAACACAGGGTTTTACGTGCAAGATCCAGGCTCTGCGTGATAAGCTGTGGATCTTCCTGGTTCAGTCTTTCTATGCTGTCCGACACACAGAAAGCTGGAAGCTGATAAGCACAGATGATCAACAGAAAATTCAAGCAGGTATTTCTTTTAATTCTCATTGTGTGATCTTTGTAACAACAGATATTTGAGGGTGTTCCGATAAGCAGAGAGATTAACATTTGTGTGCTTCTGTTCAGTAATAGAATGCTAATCAAAACTAGTGACAGTATGGTAGGCAGTTTTAATAAATCATGTTTTTTCCCTTTCTTAGAAAATGAAACTCACTTCCTTTATATGTTCATATCAATTTTTAATCCTCCTGTATATAGCAACAATATTCCAGCAAAATTTGCTTAAAAGCATTCTTGTGAAGAGGTGAAAGTATAAAAAAAATTCACACAGAATAGATTACAAAATGTACTTTTTCCCCTTTTAAAATATATTTTGCCATAAAGCTTTTCCATCTTTTCATCAGATACCCTTTCTTATGGGTTAGCCTAGATTAGACGGCTTTATTTCACAATTGATTGGTTCAGTGATGTGGTCTGTGCTATTGTGGAGTGTCCCTTAGGAGCTGCAGAGTGGTCTCTGACATTTAATAGGTACCATCTGAAACATTAGCATTAAACAGATGTATATTGCTCAGAATATATGTCTGTTTCCATAATATCAAAATAAAATTTGAGGGTGTGGAACTAAAAATGGCTTCATGACTATTTTTGGGTTAAAGCAGGTGCTTTGGAAAAAATACTGGCATATTCAGCAAGTATACCTTTAAAAACATTTACAGCTAAAAGACCATGTTTTATGAAGTAAATATTTTTGTACTATACAACATGGAACCCATATGTGATAAAAATATATTCTTGATAATATACTGGTATTTTGTTTAGTGGAATAATCAAAATGTAAGCTGCCTTATCTTGCATTATAAGTATAACATGATAGTGCAGCTAGATGTGGAGATCACTTCTCATTTTTTAAACAACAACAAAAAAATCTTTAAAAATTGGAATATTTTTGCTTGTGACTATTTCTGTGCTGATTTTTGGATGGTAGTTTACTACAAAATCTGAACACTATCAGGAAATAAAATAACAACAGCACTCCTGGAATAGGTGTCCTTCAGTTCACTTCTGATTGGTAGCAAACTTTGTTTTTCTCTATTTTAGAAGATTTCATATTTAAGTTGAATTTTAGTTTCTTTAATTCTTCAAAGTGCTGATTAAAAAACTACATGTAAATACACATACATACATACATACCTAAACAAAATGTCATTGATAATACAGATAATTATCACAAAGAACTTTTCATTTTATTAATCAGCGTAATATTTTAAAATCTTAAATATGTTGAATTATAATGAATCCTGACTTATGCTAATTACTACATTACAAAACCCAAGTCCTGGGTTGTCTTTGTTGTAACATTTCTTATGTTCTATTGAGTTACTGACCTTGAGAAATTTTTATTAATGCCTTACTATATATTGTATAGATATTTGATTACTGTAAATCAGTCTTTACAATGCCATTTCGAGGATCTTACTTTGTCTTACAGCACATACCTCTATAGAATATAGGTTGTGAAAGATGCGTGATAGAGTTACAGATAATTTAATATATTTTATTAGCTGTTTTTTTTAAAAAGTCAAATTTTGGAAAAATGCATCTTAAGTCCCATAATCTACAAAAGAAAGAAATACATTAATTAAATTGTATTTCTTGTAGACATAACTTATAAAATGAATTTTTATTTATTTGGAAAAAGAATGATGAGTTTGAGGATTGTTCCTTGTTTTATTTTCAAAAGTCCTAAGTTTTTCTCTTTTTTCTTTTTTCCTCATGATACACCTGCAAAGCCAGAAAATACCTTTAATTTCAATGGAATATTTTTATAGTTCTTAGTATAAGTATTTTCTCATATTTAATTGGTAGTAAAATATTACATCAGCCATAATTTCTAATTTTTTGAAATTTGGGAAACTAAATAAAATCAGTTAAAAATGTACAGTTTGAGAAAATTCTGAGTTTTTATATATATAATAATTTTTTATTTGAGATTCTTTGAGTTTATTTAGTAATTTTAAAAACAAAATCATAGGGACTAGATTCTTTCTTAAAAATTCTAAAATAAAACAAGGAATTGTTTTTGTGTACTAGATGGATTTTTTAAAATTTCCTTCAAAATACTATATAACCTTTTGCTGCTAGCTTTGTGTTTTTTCATAGTTCTATAGTAATGCTTCCCATAAAAATAAATTGCCGGTTCTTTCTACAGCTGCATTTGACAAAGGTGATGACCGAAGACTTGGCAAAAAGCCTATCTTCAGTAGCTCTCAGGTAAACTTTCTAAATTTTATAGGTCCAAATGAGAAAATATATCAAATGTTATTATTTTCTATTTCACTATATTTTAAAATCTGTTTATTAATTAAAGCTAATTATTGATAGAAGTAACTTTGAATCTTTTAAAAGTGAATAGTTAATACTTTCTCTGTACTACTAAGGATTAAATCCAGGGATTACTGAGTTCTTTTTATTTTTTTTATCTTGAGGCAGGTTCTCACTAAATTGCCTAGGCTGACCTTGAACTTTTGATCTCCTGCCCTATCCTCTTGAGTAGCTGGAATTACAGACATGTGTCACCATGTCTGGTTGATACGAATTTTTTATATCCAGCTGGCATGAAAGTATCTACCTTTTTTATATCCTTGAAAACATTTTTGGCAAGTAATGTATTGGAGCCATTCCAGTAGGTTAGGAAATCTTTAAAATTCTAGACCTAATTCAGTGCTTATTTTTCTAATTACTTTACATGTTATTTGGTGTGGAAAAAAAAGCAGTTAGTACCAAGAATAGGGTTGTTTCATTGTAAAAGTTATCTGAGGTAGTTACAAAATAGAATAGTGATTGCCAGGGACTAGGGGTGAGGTCAGGTATGGAAAAGGACAGGTGTTTTGTTTTGTCTTGTTTTGTATTGTTTTGTCTTGTTTTGTTTGAGACAGGGTCTTGCTATGTAATTCAGGTTGGCCTTTAATTCACTTTGTAGCCCAGGCTAGCTTCAAACTCACAACCATCCTCCTGACTCAGCTTCCCAAGTGCTGGGATTATAGGTGTGCACCACCACACCAGCCTGGAGAATTGTTTTTAAGAGGGTACACAGTCTAAGTTTTGCAACATGCAAAGATTGTAGAGATCTGTTGTACAAAAAAGTGCATGTAGTTAACATTACTGCACTATATGCTTTAAAATTTAATATGATAAATTGTGCCATGTGCTTCTTAACCACATATACTTGTTATTTGATGCATTTGTTATAAACTAAAATACATTTTTCTTCTCCTAAAATGTTATTAATAATGGTTAGAGTTCAAAGCTAACTTATAGCTGCTCATATAATCAGTAATATATTGGAAGTATAAAATTATACTAACGTACTGTGTGCATTACAATGATGATATAGAAATATACATTAGAGTTTCAGTTTGGAATGCAAAGAATGTACTGCCCTTGTAGAGTGGAATAGGGAGTCCTGTTTTCATTCCTTATCATTCAGTAGATAGAAATTAACACACCCCACGCCATAACTGAGCTTTCATGGCTTAAAGCAGGGGTCAAACTCTAAATGACTTACTTGAGAAATTATGAGACATGGGGCTTTTTTGCAAGTATATCTCCTAGGACTTTGCTAGAATGTGTTTTACAGTATACTAGCTACATCATATTTTCCACCAAAGAACATGTAGCATCAACTAAGTTTGAGAATTACTACATATCATAATAAACCTTAAAAATACTGAGAAACACTACAGTAAAAAACACTTTGAATTATCTCACCCCAAATCTCTAATTATTAAACTGTGGAACACTAGTATGCTTCCTCTGCACCCCTTTAAAGTACTGTTACCTCTAGAAGTGGTATCTAAGGACATTTTTTAAATGTGCTTAATTCGCTATAATCTCTTTAGGTTTGTTTTTTTTTTTAAGAATTAGCATATCTACCTTCATTTCCTCTGTGATCAGCTAGGTCTTTCCTCTTTCCTTGCCTCACAAGAAAATAGGACAAATTCTCATTGTTCTTCCTAAATTCCTGACTTAAAGATTTTCTAAGTGCTTTTTCAATTAACAACAGCAGAAAGGATGCAGGATAATAAGTGTCCCTAGGGAGGCAGTGGTATACTGAAATGGATACTGGATATAAAACTAGCAGAGTTCAAATCTTGACTTCACATTTATTATCTATTAGAATCCTAGAATGCTGCTCGGAAGAAGACCATCCTCCACTCTACAAACATAAATAATTTAAAGCCCAGAGCTGTTAATAACTTCTTAAATATCCTAGGTCCATTAGAGCCAAATCCAGGACAATAATGTAGTGATTCCTTCAACGCCAATTTAGCGAACATTTTGTTTTTATTAATAAATAATTTTATCTGTTATCTGCATTCCCATTTAACTTAGGCAGTTTTAATGTAATTATAGAAATTTTTCATATAGAAAAATAATTAGATTTTGATCTGTGTGTCAGTTACATGCTCAGTTTCACCAGCAATCATCAGCATCTTCTCAAGTCCCTGGTATATAATGAGCATAGTGCCAAGGGTTTTGGATAGAACCAGTACCTCTTACCTCTACATTTTCATGTAGCTTTGCAAAAGAAAAAAAAAAAGCATTTATATATTTACAAAAAAGACATTGTGGTCTTACTTTTTATTCTAAAATTCCTACCAACCTTTAAAATACCTCTTCAGTCAATATTGGGTCTAGGAAAGATGATAAAGTAGTTGCATTTGTCTTCAGTATCCTTCTGTTTTTTTCTCCATTTATCAGATAGCCAATGCTGGACTACCATCTTGTTCTTTGAAAAGCCGGTCTTATCAGATGTAATGTATTGTGTTTCCTTGAAGTTTTTTTTTTTTTTTTCAATGAGGACTTCAAGAAATAAACTGTGCTACAACAGAGGATTAATTCTTTAAAGATAAAATTTCTGATACTTGAGATAGGCTGAAGAGAGAATTTTGGGTGAAAATCTTTATAATGTCCTTCAGATTATACCATTTAGATGACTATTGCATTGAGGCAATAAATCATGAACTCAAGTCCTAATTCTATCCCTTAATAGTATGTGATTTTGGGTAAGTTACACATGTTCTTTAATCCTGTTTCTTGTTTAGAAAAGTAATAGCTACAGGAGTGATTTCATAGAACTATTGTCAGGATTAAGTGAAATGATATATGAAAATAGGTTAGCATGGAATCTGGAAATGAGCCCTTAAAAATTCTTGGATGTTGTTATGTATTCAAGACATTCTGAACCTTTAAGTTTTAATCTTTGCCATAACTTTGTAAATTAAAATAGTATGCCTTTTAAATAAACATTTAATGCTGTATGTCAGAATTAAGATATATGATTCAAGATGCAAAGTTTTGATCTAAATGGTCAAAGACAATTCAAGTTTTTAATCACCTTAAATATGAATTTTGCTATTTTTTCTTCTGAAAATATGGCTCACTTAAGTATTATATGTCAAAAACTTAAGGCAAGTTAAAAATTTTTTTTTCTTCTTTGTAGCAAAGGAGACACATTTCTGATTCTGGTGTTTTAAAAAACAAATCTTGGAGAGAAAATAACAAGAAAGAGTGTTGGAGTTATCTCTCTACTAATCAAAAGATGAAATCAGATGGATTAGGAGCATCTGGACATTCATCAAATGCTAATAGAAATAGTATAAATAAAACTTTAAACCATCATGATTTAAAGGAAAAGGATGGTACAAAAATAGCATCAAAGGTTACAAAAGGATTGAAAACTGGGGAAAAAAACATTTCTGGAAATTCCAAAACTGTAACAAAGCCCAAAACAGAAAATAATGATAATGCAAAGTTGGAAAACTTGTCACCGAAAGTTGTGGAAAGAACAGCAGCACCAGTTGGACAGAAAGATTCATTAAATGGAAAAGGAGTAAGAAATCAGGAAGGGCAAGTTGCAGGTGCCAGACCCAAGGTGCTCACTGGAAACCTAAATGTGCAACCCAAAGTAAAGCCTTTAAAAAAAGTGACAGGTAAAGATTCTCCATGCCTCAGCATCACAGGACCCTCCAGCAGATCTGCGAGTTCAAGTATGGAATTACTAACTTCCACTGAATGTCTGAATGAACCAAAACAAAATGGATCAATAGGAGAAGAGAAGTCTTCTGGTCAGAAGCTATCCTTTTATGATTCTTCAGGACAGACAGTGAAAAACAGTGTAGATGGTGTCAAAACTTCTTCTGTAGGTGGGTTTTAGCACTCTGATTTTTGCTGTTGAGGACTGAACATAGTGCCTCACAAGCTAGGCAGTTGTTCTACTACTGAGCTATACCCTTACTTCTACGTTCTAATTTTAATAGCTCCTGACATTTAAAGTTCCTAGAAAAAATGACCCTTGGACACTGATTTCTTTTTAAATGCCAAAAGATATTTATTCATGTCTATTTGTGCAAAGTGAGGGAGAACAGTCCTACCCACTTTGATACTTAATTTTGTTAATAGTATCTAATCAGTAAATTTATAGCGAATTGTTATATATTTAATGTATTCTGTGTCATGACTGACTTTTTCTTAATTTATAGCAGTAAAATCTCGGCCTATTTCAAGAGTTACCAATGGGACTGCCAATAAAAAAAGCATTCGTGAACAAGACAATAATATAAATAATAGGTAGGTCTTCATTCATTCTTTTATCTGTATGCTAACTTTCTCTGAAAGTTACAGTAATTACAGTAAGTCCCTAACTTATGAATGAGGTCCATTCTAGGAGAACTTGTTCATAAATCGAATTCATTCTCAATCCATCAAAGTAAGGAGTATACAGTATGCCTGTGAGTCATATGTATACCTGTGAAAGTTTGCAACAAGAACGTTTGTAAGTCAGGGACTTACTGTATGTACTAATTTCTAGCTAAATATTGCTGAAGTACCTTAGTGAAGAAATTCAATATATTTATATAGTGATATTTTAAAACGATTTTCTTTTTTTTTTTTGAGAGAAGGTCTCGCTTTGTAGTTCAAACTGGCCTTGAATTCACTAATGTACCTCAGCCTGGCCTCAAACACGTGGCGAGCCCCCTGTGTCAGCCTCCCAAGTGCTGGGATTACAGGTGTGTGCCACCATGCCTGGCTTTAAAATGATTTTCTTATTAAAAAGTCAATGCAAAATGATGATTAGTGTAGTGTATTAGAAGGTTATCTCCCTTTATGTTTATGGCACATGATTATGCATTGCTTTATCATACTTGGCCTGTACTCTTAAATGTTGATGTTTTGGAATCTTACTGTAATATTGAATGCAATCATTTTTCTTAGTATACTAAAGAAAGTCAGTGGCAAAAGGTGTAGTGATCCGGTACCACAGGCAGTTTTGAAGAAAAGAAGTAATGGCAGTGGACAGCAAAGGACAAAGAGTGCCCCATCTAATCTTGCTAAAACTCAAGGTAAGTCAAAATAGTCCTGGGTATCATGAGTATTATTTTCTTATGTAAGTTGATTGACCAAAACTCTAGCTTGAAACTTCAGTAGCAGAGGAATAAAACATAACCCTTTTTTATTTTACATTTGTTTCACATGACAGAGATGAGAGTTTGGACTTTTACTTTTAGAGAAATATTTTGGTATTTGCGGGGTTTATTGTCCTTTGTGGTAGAAATAATTAAGGGAGTTACTAGTTGAAATAATTAAGGGAATCACTGGTTTACTTGCATTTTAGGTCCTTTCATAGAGAATATAGGGAATATGCCTATGTTCTTCATTGATAACTCTAGGAATTACATCTAAAAATCCAGCATTAAAGAATTTTTAAAATAATGATATGAGGGGTGGTGTGTGGCTCAGTGGTAGAACATTGGTGTAGTATGCATAAGTTTCATCCCAAGCACTGCAAAATAAGTAAATTCTCAAGTTATAAGATTAAAAAAATTAAGTGAGGGCTGGGGATTTAGCTCAGCGGCAAAGCACCTGCCTGGCAAGCGCAAGGTCGTGAGTTTGGTTCCTGGTACCGGAGAAAAACCAAAAAAACAAAAAAACAAAAAAAAAAAAAAAAAATTAAGTGATAGTTCAGACAGCCATAATATGTAGGGAGAAAGAATTTTCCCTTCAAAATCTGATGTACCCACTGTCTTTCAGTGATCTAAGAGTACTAGAGTGCATAAGTGATTTAAAAAATTATTTTTCTTAATTCGTTAAGCATTCACATATGTAAGAGCAGTTTGTATTTCATAAAAACATCTTTATGTATTTATGAATTAATACTGAAAGCCAATTTAAAAATATGGCAGAGAAAAGTTACTCATATCCTAATAATAGATAAAAATTTATCATCTAGAAGTATTTGATGGGCTTATATCTCAGTAGTAGAATGCTTACCTAGCATGCACGAAGTCCTGGGTTCAATTTCTAGCACTGTAAAAAAAAATCATCGTTCTATGTGGTAGATTTGAATACCCAAAATATCATCTCTAAGACTTTAAGAAGCATAAATAAATGGATTCCCAAACTTAATCCGCTGTGCCCGGTAGCTAGCAGTTCTGGTTTCCACAGCAGATCTAAGTTGTTAACCTCAATGATTCATGGTTATAAGAAGTAAAATGGTTTTATCATGTTTGAATAAAACAACTCTAACAATTTTAACTTTTTTTTTGTTTGTTTAATTTGATTCACCTTCTTAGCTGTGCAGAACACAGCCCCCCTCCCAAAGAGAAAAAAAATGAGAGAGAGACTTCAAGGGAAGACCTTTCTTCCTTCTTTGGTATAAAAAATCAGATTTTTCACTCTCATGTATTTATGCAAATCCAATTTTTGCATGAGGATCTAGGCCTTTTACTTGGGAAAGAGAGATCCTATTCAAATAAGTTCTACTAAAACCCTGGAATAAGAGGGAGGGAGAAAGGGAGAAAAGGGGACTGGTGTTGGAAATCAAACTCAGTGCCTCATAAATTTTAGGCAAGAGCTCTACCATTGAGCTATACCCCTAACTTCCCTCTGTAGTTTTAATCATCTTTATCATATGACTGATTCCTAATCTGTCATTGTCCATTTGATCATCGATGTTACCCTTTCATTTTTAAATTGATTTTATTTTCCTAAAATAATTTAAAACATACTGAATTCCACTCAGAATTGGAGAGTATTATTTCTGAACTTTCTTTTCTTAGGATCTGAAGGAGAGTCACCACATTCAGTAAAATCTTCAGTCTCTTCAAAACAGTCAGGTGAAAATGTGACGAAGCTGGAGCACAGTATAACTACAGATAAACAAACATCCAAGAGAAAAATTGTTAAGCAAGGACATATAAATACTCCTAAGGCTAATACAAAACTGGTATCAATACCTAAAAACCTAAATCAGCCAAAGATGGGTGAAACTCTGAATAATAAATATTCAAAACAAAAAACGCTTACTGGACAAGTCATACTGAAACCTCAGTCTTCGCAAAAACATTTAAAAAGTGAATCACCTGTTCCCCAAAAAAGTATCCTTCATGATATACCTGATAATAACAACAAAGACAGTGTTTCTGAACAAAAACCTCATGGGTCTCTAGTTAATCTCACATCTGAAATCAGTGATACAGAAGCCTTCCAGTCATCATGTAGACCTGACCCACAAAAACTATTAAGCAGTCAAGAAAAAGCTAAGTTGGTGTCAGAATGCCAAAATATTTCGAAGCTGGATAAATCAATGAAACATGAACTGAAAGTAAAGCAGATTTGTTCAGATAAAAATGAAACCAAATTTCCCAGTCACAAAGACATAAATCATTGCAATGCAACTAAAACATACAGCCATTCTGGTGGGAGTGATACAGATTCAAAGTTTTATAGCATCACTGCTCTAAAATCCACAGTTTCGAATATAAATGAAAACTCCTTAAACTCTAATCCAGTTTGTGATTTAGATTCAACAAACGCAAAGCAAATTCATTTAATATCAGATAGAGAGAAACAAGCAGAGAAAAAAGATACAAACAAAAAATCGAACTTGGAATGTATGAAAGAAGCTTTATCTTGTGTTCCTGAAAGGACAAATGATACCTTAAATTCTGTTCAGGATGACAGAAAATCTAAAATTCATATAGGAGAAACGACAATTCCTAATCAATTGTTTGATGACTCTGCTGTGAAGGAAGACAAACATGCTGCCACCGATTCAAAACAACTGTCAGGAAAAACTTTTGCTAAAAATATGGAAAAGTCAGAAACTCCAGAGAACCTTGACACTCTAGAAGTCCCATTCACAGGTGCCTGGAATTTGAATACCAGCATGCTGCCTGCAGGAGAGAGTCCTGAGTCCGACACCGGCAGCGCTACCACATCCTCCGATGACATAAAGCCTAGATCTGAAGACTATGATGCCGGAGGGTCCCAGGATGATGACGGGTCAAACGACAGAGGTGTTTCTAAATGTGGCACCGTGCTGTGCCGTGACTTTGTTGGAAGAAGTAGCAGCGATACCAGTACTCCTGAAGAATTAAAAATATATGATAGTAATTTAAGAATAGAAGTAAAACTGAAAAAGCAAAGTAATCATGATCTTTTCCAAGTTAATTCAACAAGTGATGATGAGATTCCTAGGAAAAGGCCAGAAATTTGGTCACGATCTACAGTAGTCCGCCCTAGAGAGAAAGAAAACATTCCGCGAGGCACTATCCAGTTTACTCAGGAAATAGATCAGGTTTCTTCTTCAGCAGATGAAACAGAAGATGAAAGATCTGAAGCTGAAAATGCTGTAGAAAATTTCTCTGTGATTAATCCATCTCCTCAGCAGTTTCAGGGAATAATTAACCTAGCTTTTGAAGATGGAACCGAAAATGAAAGTCGTGAATTTTCTGCAACTAAAAAGTTTAAAAGATCAGTTTTACTTTCAGTTGATGAGTGTGAAGAACTGGGATCTGATGAAGGGGAAGTTCATGCTCCCTTTCAGCCTTCTGTAGATTGTTTTTCACCTTCTGATGTTTTTGATGGTGTTTCTCATGAACATCATGAAAGGACCTATTATCCAAGATTTCCCCAAGGAAGTGAAGATAGTATTTTAAAATGTAAACAACAAGGTAAAGGCAATAGTACATATAAAACTGAAAGCACTCCCGTGGGTCTTAGTAGCATTGACTCTTCAAGAAAAGATAAACAGAACACTACAGCCACAGACAAAAAGAACACATTAGATGTCCTATCCAAAAGAGACGGACAACTTTTTCTAGAAGATGAAAAAGTACACAGTGGAAGAGATATGGATAATGACTTTCAGCAGTGCAACAAATTCATGGATAGTGATATAAAATCTCAAGGAAGACCGTGTCATTTGGCGCTTCATCAAAGAGAACCCAATTCTGAGATACCAAAGAACACCTCTGCAAAATCTCTAGACTCCCTTCAGAGTCACATTCTTCCTCAGGAAGGTCAAGTGAGAGAAAGCCATTCTACAGCTACTGAGAAAGCTAATATTGCTTTATCTGCAGGTAATGTACAGAAATAGAAATGCTAAATGCATAAGAAAATACATTTATAGAATCTTAAAGTTGTATGTAACCCTGAACGTTATATTTTAGGTAGAACAGTTACTTGAGCAGTGGTATCAAATTTAGATGAATATTAAAATTTCTTAATAATACGAAAAGTACTAATGATCCAGTATTTATTGTTTTTGTAAAATCCTAGTAAAAATTACTAACTAGTAAAAATTTTGGTTGTTTATTAGAGCTGACCTTCTAGGAGAGTTTACATGAAGGAACAAAGAGAAAAACTTAGTTTGTTATTACTTAGTTATTTATATTTAATTTAGCATAATTCTTGACTATTAGAAATTTTATTATACATTAGATATGATTTATGGACTTGCTAGTATATCTAAGAGGGCTGTGCAATAACTACAGTAATATGTAACTAAAAGCATTGAACTATTTTAACAACTAGATATTACAATTTATATACATTTTACAGAGAGTAAGCTTTCAGGATCAATACAATTCTATTCTAAATTTTTCAAGTAAAAATTTACATTTCCTAAAAGAGATTATATTTAGAGGTAATGATACTATATGAAAAAAGCCCAGGCTTATTTCATATGCTTAGATGCTTTTCTGTCTAATTGTTATGTGTTTTTGTCATCCTTATTATAATAATACAGACTAAGGACCCACATTTGAAGTATGCAGTAGTAGCTGACTGAGCAACTATTGTGTTTCATAATAAGATAATGATCAATATATCCCTATTCAGCAAACTCATAAGGATAGATCTTTAAAAGTTGTACTTTTTGTTTGTTTGTCCTTGCTTGCATCCTCCTTTGCATGTGCAATCTAGAAATAAACCTTTAGATGAAATGTATTTCCCCCTTTCAGAATTGACTTATTTTAAAAGTTACCATCAAATAATTTTTTTCTCCTTAAATTTCTATTGTAGTGAATTAGATATATGTGCACTTCCTATGTTTATGGTTAAATATTTGTGTTACTTTCTGTATCATAAGCTTTCAAATTAAAGCATGGAGAATTATTGTTAGTTGCCTATGTTGATTTTGCTGCTAAATAATTACCCTTGAGTTTTTTCATATAGGAAAAGAAATGCCTCAAAAATTTTGTCAATTTTGTATAAATGTTATTTTTCCCATTTTGTGGCTTTTTTTGAGGGGGCTATCGTTGTTATATTGTATTAATATTGTTCTACAAAACTCTGAGGGGTACCGACATGTGCAATTTTTACATTGTATAGTATTATGAATTATTTCAGGAGACATAGATGATTGTGACACACTGGCACAAACCCGCATGTATGACCATCGACCTTCAAAAACCCTCTCTCCAATATATGAGATGGATCTAACAGAAGCATTTGAGCAGAAAATGGAATCTGAAACACATGTAACAGATACGGATTTTGAAGATAGTCAACACTTTGCAAAACAAGATTGGACACTACTAAAGCAGCTGCTCTCTGAACAGGATTCAAACTTAAATTTTACAAATTCTCTTCCTGAAGACCTAAATTTGGCACAGTATTTAATCAATCAAACTCTCCTTTTAGCACGAGACAGCTCAAAACCTCAGGGTATAGCACATGTTGACACTTTGAACAGATGGAGTGAACTATCATCTCCACTTGATAATTCCTCACCAAGTATTACCATGGCTAGTTTTTCCTCTGAAGATTGTTCACCTCAAGGAGAATGGACAATTCTGGAGCTAGAAACTCAGCATTAAAAGTCTTAACAATTTGGAAAATTTAAACTGTGCCATCCCTATATTTTTTGATGTCTATATTATATCTAAATTATAATTGCAGTAGACAGATATAAACTGACCTTAATACTGAGGAAGTTTTCCAGTTTATTGAGGTAGACATAGTTTATTAATATGATGTCACATGTAGAAAAAGTGTTTTTCTAAAGTTTTTGAGCATGTTTTCTATAATTATTAGAAAAATTAGAAGATTCATGAGGAAACCCTTACCTCAGTTTTCCTTTCCTCCCTGATCATTTGTTCACTTATTATTCAAGAATTTAAAGTAGGAATGCACAAGTAAATCATTCCCTCTACCCCCTTTTGCTCTGCATATGGTACCCTAGTAATTTAACAATAAAAAACTTGGTATGCTTGTGTGTGTTTATATAAAGTTAATATTTGAATAATATTCACACTCAGGTTGAGATGGTTTACATTGTAGCTGAGTATTTGGGGAAAAAAAGAAAGCTCAGTTTTCTCAACAGTTCAGATCCAGGAGATTGTGAATCAAGAGTGCCTCAAATCTCAACTACATTATGAAAAAACAAAAACAAAACAAAAAAAAGGGATAGGGTTTCCTGCATCTCTGTTTTGGTTATCTATCCAGAGAGCGCCATCTGTCCTTGTTCAAAGGCAGTGGGAAAACCTTTTCTGTCTTACACCCATTGATTTCCTTAATCATTTTGCATTTTACATTTCATGCTAGGGATATTTTGGAATTGTGCCTGCAATAAGCTAGCAGTAAATATTAATATGAAAGTGAGTACATGGGGCAACTGAGGGGGTTACTGAATTTTAATTCTCTGTATACATATATATGTGTACAAGTGTACCCTTTCTTGGTGTGTTCATTTTAGCTCTTTTTTTATGAATCATGCTTTTACATTTTTTGCTTTGGGACTCTTTGGACTAGTGCTCCATCATTCAACAAACATATTAAAAAGTAATTGCTAACATTTATTTACATGATTTTAAATATGCATCAACACATTTAATTCTATCTTCAAAGGGTTTACATATTCTAAGCCTTGGATTTAGTGGGCAGTATGTCTTCTCCAACTATACATGACTTACTTAGTTTTAACTCTAAGTAAACAATTTCCATGTTCTTGGAAAATAACTACCTAAAGATCACAAGGAGTAATCAAAGTTGTTTTTTTCAGTATTTAAGTAACATGCCTGAGTATATTTTAGAAAAACAATTTTGAACAGTCATGAAGATGACCTGGTTTGGAGAAGTGCCCAAACTTGTTAGGATGTAATTACAATAATTTTGTCAACCTTAGACATGGGGAATGGAGGAGGATTTAGTAACAGAGACATTAGGTATGTTGAGATTTTTGGACATGATAAATGATCAGATAGTGGGAAAAAATGTAAAGGAGTTTTTAAGTTTCTATAGGAAATAACATCCTTGCACACATTGAGGGCCCAATCTGTTGCGAGAACTTTGTCTGAGCTAGAAATAAAAAGCATAGTACCCTGTCCTTGAGTTCTCATTGTAGTAAACAAGAGAGATTTCTTTTTAAAAAACGGCAAAACTGTTGTTAAATGTCTCAGTAAAGCGCTGTACAAAGTATAATTGATGTATAAAGGAAGTGACAGAGGGGTGTTCCAGTAAGTGTCCGTACTCTGATGGTTAATTGGAATTCGTAAGACAGTAAGACACACAGTCTTTGCATAAAAAGAGATCAGAGATTTTAATTCTGGTTGTTCCTTATGGCTGGAAAGCAGGGAGTGGATGGGAAGGTCAGGAGTTGAAGCTAGACAGGAAGGAACATGATTAGATTTCCTTCCTACAAAGATCTCTCCAGCAGCAGTATGTAGGAGAGTGGGGTAGATGATGTGAAGGCAGGGAGAGTAATGAGTCTCTTACAGTAATCAGAGCTGGAATAGGGCAGTGGCAGTGGAGACAGAGAAGAGTGGAAACAGATCTGAGAGATGGAATTGAAAAAACTTAAGGACTGCTCACATGTAACGAAAGAAAGGAGTCCTCTTAACACATTTAGGTTTCTGACTAGGCTTCCTTGCTGTTTGATGATGTCATCAACCAAAAATTGAAGCAAGCGTAGGAGTGAAAATGAGTTGAATTTGGGACATACTGAGTTTGAAATGCCTGCAGGACATTCAAGGGCTGAGGACAAAATGCTGCTGAATAGTCAGAAAAGCCTATCAAGGAGACTGGAAAAGGAGTATTCTGAAATAGAAGTAGGAGGCCAGGGTGAAGAGAAGAGTAACCTTGCTACTCATCAAAGGAGAGAAAATCAAGGTACCAGATCCAACTTTGACCTATCAAATTCATGTGAATTTTTGAAGGTTTCCTTTACATCAGCATTAGCAAGAGAACAAGTTTGAGATCTTCTTATGCTGTTTTGCAACTGCAAGTTACCTTTCAAGTAAACAATTAGATAATGCTATATCAAGAATGTTCATAACTTCATATTCTTAACCTAATCCTTTTCCCTCTTGGGATCTAACATTAAAAAGTAAGAAAAATCTGAGAGGAGTTTTGCCTTCAAAAATGTATCCTGGAGAGCTAGATATATTAGTGAAAAAGGAGGTAAATGTCAGTAGTAGAAGAAAGGCTTATTTATTTTACATCTATATGACACATTATGAAATGTTTAAAATAGTTTCCAAAAATCTGTTTATAACAAGGGAAAATACGTAGAAGGAAAAAAGTCCAGATTGTATTTTTAAATATATTATGTCCCAAATTTGTGTGTAGGAACATTTCAGATCTCCTCCCAGCAAATCTCAATTATAGTGGTACTAATGCAGTCACCAAGCTGTGCGTTACCTGTCCAAAATGTATCCACCTGCATAACAAAGTTTCCTTTGACCAATATCTAGCTCCTGACAATCACTATTCTGCTGTCTGCTTCTATGAGTTTGATTTCTTTAGATCCCATTTGTCTTTTTGTGCCTGGCTTCATTTAACATAACGTCTTCCAGTTTATCAGTATCACAAAGTATAGGATAGCCTTTTTGCTTTTTGTTTTTTGGGGGTTTTTTGGTACTGAAAATCGAATTCATAACTTTGCATTTGCCAGGCAGGCGCTGTGTCACTGAGCTATACCCCCAGCCCCAGTATATCCTTTTTAAACACTGGCTAATATTCTATTTTATACACACCACATTTTCTTTATCCATTTATCTGTTGGACACTAGGTTGAATCCTGTATCTTGGCTATTGTAATTAATAATGTAGTAGACATAGTTTACAGATAATCTCTTTGAGATTGATTTCTTCCGTTCAGACATGTAATATGCCCAGAAATGGGATAGCTGGATCATCTTGTAGTTCTTTTATTTTTTGAGGAACCTCCATCCTCTTTTCCATAATACATGTATCAGTTTACATTCCCACCAAAAGTATACAAGAAATACTTTCTCCACATCCCTGCTAACATTTGTTGCCTTTTGAGGTAGCCATTTTAATAAGTCTGAGATGAATGTACCTTTTGCTGTTTATATGTATACTTCTGAGAAATGTCTCTTCAAGTCTTTTGCCCAATTTATAATCAAGTTACTTATTTTCTTGCTGTTCTTTAAGTTCCTGATATATTTTTATTATTAACCCTTGATCAGATGTATGGATTGCAAATACATTCTTTCATTCTGTAAGCTGTCTCTTCACTTGGTTGACTGTTTCCTTTGCTGTACAGAGATCTTTCAGTTTGATGAAATCCCATTTTCCTTTTTTTTTTTTTTTTTTTGGTAGCTATGTGGTCCCATTTTTTAAAAAGTTGGCTAGATCAACAGCAAGAAGCTTTTTCTCTGTTTCCTTCTAGTAATTTCATAGCTTCAGGCTTCACATGTAACATCATAACCCATTATGAGTTGATTAGTATGAAAAGAACGATGAGACTGTCCCTTTCCCCATGGTGTATTTTTTGTGCCTTTGTTGAAGATTAGTTGATCTAAACGTGCAGATTTATTTTGGGGCTCTCTATTCTGTTACACTGGTCTGTTTTTGTGCCAGAGTCATGCTATTTTTATTACTAAAGCTTTGTAGTGTGTTTTATAGTGTATTTTGAGGTCAGGTAGTGTATTTAGGGTCAGGTAGCTCCAGCTGTGTTCTTTACGCTCAAGAGTACTTAAGCTACTCAGGATTTTTTGTGGTTCCATGCAAATTTTAGGACTGGCTTTGTTTTGGTACTGGGAATCAAACTCAGGACCTTGTACTTACCAGGTAAGCACCATGCCACTGAGCTATACCTGCAGCCAAGGATTGTCTTTTTTGTTGCTGTGAAAAAAAGTAATTTGAATTTTGATAGGGATTGCATTTTATCTGTAACTATTGAATTAGGTAAAAATGTTAACGGTAGTTGTGGTTTGGGGAAGATTATAAGTTTTTAAATGTTTAGGCTATCCTGGCTTTCCTCACACTATCCCACCCTGCTTTCTACAGGGCGTTCTTTTATCTTGCTTTTTCCTCTTTTACTCACCCCAGGCTCCTGCTGCAGAGCCAGTTTTTGTCTTACTCTTCACTTCTACTTTTTCAAATAAATTTTGCCACTACTTTAAAAAAAATTTTAACATCCACATTAAAAGTAGATTTGTTTTATTTTTTTGTCTTTTTTTTTTTTTTTTTTTTTTTTTTTTTCTCCGGTACCGGGAACCGAACTCAC